ATCAGAAGGTGGGAAATATATAAATCTAGTGAGCTAATAAGGTTCGAAAGGTATCTAACGCACATGTATAGGGAAAATGGTGCATTGGCCAGGCCGGTCTGTATAGGAACTTAGAGTGCAAATGCCAGGGAGAACGGAAGCGCTCAAATCTCGCAAAGTACACGGAATCTAGTGGTCTCACTCAAATAGAAGGTAGGAAATATATTAACCTAGTGAACGTAAGGGTTTGAAAGCTAACTAACGCACATGTGTAGAGAAGATGGTGCATCGGCCAGTCTGGCCAGCATTTCGCACTTATATTGAAAGTGGGGCCAGGGAGAACGGCAACGCTCATTTCTCAAAAAGTAAAGGGAATCTAGTGGTCTAACTCGATGAGAAGGTGGCAAATATATAAATCTAGTGAGCTAATAAGGTTCAAAAGGTATCTAACGCAAATATATAGGGAAAATGGTGCATCGGCCAGGCCGGTCAGTATGCGAACTTTGAGTGCAAATGCCAGGGAGAACGGAAGCGCTCAGATCTCGCATAGTACACGGAATCTAGTGGTCTCACTCAAATAGAAGGTAGGAAATATATTAATCTAGTGAACGTAAGGGTTTGAAAGGTAACTAACGCACATGTGTAGAGAAAATGGTGCATCGGCCAGTCTGCCGGCATTTCGCACTTATAGTGCAAGTGGGGCTAGGGAGAACGGAAACGCTCGTTTCTCAAAAAGTAAAGGGAATCTAGCGGTCACTCGATCAGAAGGTTCGAAATATATAAATCTAGTGAGCTAATAAGGTTCGAAAGGTATCTAACGCACATGTATAGGGAAAATGGTGCATTGGCCGGGTCGGTCATTATGGGAACTTAGAGTGCAAATGCCAGTGAGAATGGAAGCGCTCAGATCTCGCATAGTACACGGAATCTAGTGGTCTCACTCAAATGGAAGGTAGGAAATATATGAATCTAGTGAACGTAAGGGTTTGAAAGGTAACTAACGCACATGTGTAGAGAAAATGGTGCATCGGCCAGTCTGGCCGGTATTTCGCACTTATAGTGCAAGTGGGGCCAGGGAGAACGGAAACGCTCGTTTCTCAAAAAGTAAAGGGAATCTAGCGGTCTCACTCGATCAGAAGGTGGGAAATATATAAATCTAGTGAGCTAATAAGGTTCGAAAGGTATCTAACGCACATGTGTAGGGAAAATGGTGCATTGGCCAGGTCGGTAAGTGTGGGAATTTAGAGTGCAAATGCCAGGGAGAACGGAAGCACTCATATCTCGCATAGTACACGGAATCTAGTGGTCTCACTCAAATAGAAGGTAGGAAATATATTAATATAGTGAACGTAAGGGTTTGAAAGGTAACTAACGCACATGTGTAGAGAAAATGGTGCATCGGCCAGTCTGGCCGGCATTTCGCACTTATAGTGCAAGTGGGGCCAGGGAGAACGGAAACACTCGTTTCTAAAAAAATAAAGGGAATCTAGCGGTCTCACTCGATCAGAATGTGGGAAATATATAAATCTAGTGAGCTAATAAGGTTTGAAAGGTATCTAACGCACATGTATAGGGAAAATGGTGCATTGGCCAGGTCGGTCAGTATGGGAACTTAGAGTGCAAATGCCAGGGAGAACGGAAGCGCTCAGATCTCGCAAAGTACACGGAATCTAGTGGTCTCACTCAAATAGAAGGCAGAAAATATATTAATCTAGTGAACGTAAGGGTTTGAGAGGTAACTAACGCACATGTGTAGAGAAAATGGTGCATCGGCCAGTCTGGCCGGCATTTCGCACTTATAGTGCAAGTGGGGCCAGGGAGAACGGAAACGCTCATTTCTAAAAAAGTAAAGGGAATCTAGTGGTCTCACTCGATCAGAAGGTGGGAAATATATAAAATCTAGTGAGCTAATAAGGTTCGAAAGGTATCTAACGCACATGTATAGGGAAAATGGTGCATTGGCCAGGCCGGTCAGTATGGGAACTTAGAGTGCAAGTGCCAGGGGGAACGGAAGCGCTCAGATCTCGCAAAGTACACGGAATCTAGTGGTCTCACTCAAACAGAAGGTAGGAAATATATTAATCTAGTGAACGTAAGGGTTTGAAAGGTAACTAACACACATGTGTAGAGAAAATGGTGCATCGGCCAGTCTGGCCGGCATTTCGCACTTATAGTGCAAGTGGGGCCAGGGAGAACGGAAACGCTCATTTCTAAAAAAGTAAAGGGAATCTAGCGGTCTCACTCGATCAGAAGGTGGGAAATATATAAATCTAGTGAGCTAATAAGGTTCAAAAGGTATCTAACGCAAATGTATAGGGAAAATGGTGCATCGGCCAGGCCGGTCAGTTTGCGAACTTTGAGTGCAAATGCCAGGGAGAACGGAAGCGCTCAGATCTCGCATAGTACACGGAATCTAGTGGTCTCACTCAAATAGAAGGTAGGAAATATATTAATCTAGTGAACGTAAGGGTTTGAAAGGTAACTAACGCACATGTGTAGAGAAAATGGTGCATCGGCCAGTCTGCCGGCATTTCGCACTTATAGTGCAAGTGGGGCTAGGGAGAACGGAAACGCTCGTTTCTCAAAAAGTAAAGGGAATCTAGCGGTCACTCGATCAGAAGGTGGGAAATATATAAATCTAGTGAGCTAATAAGGTTCGAAAGGTATCTAACGCACATGTATAGGGAAAATGGTGCATTGGCCAGGCCGGTCAGTATGGGAACTTAGAGTGCAAATGCCAGGGGGAACGGAAGCGCTCAAATCTCGCAAAGTACACGGAATCTAGTGGTCTCACTCAAACAGAAGGTAGGAAATATATTAATCTAGTGAATGTAAGGGTTTGAAAGGTAACTAACGCAAATGTGTAGAGAAAATGGTGCATCGGCCAGTCTGGCCGGCATTTCGCACTTATAGTGCAAGTGGGGCCAGGGAGAACGGAAACGCTCGTTTCTAAAAAAGTAAAGGGAATCTAGCGGTCTCACTCGATCAGAATGTGGGAAATATATAAATCTAGTGAGCTAATAAGGTTCGAAAGGTATCTAACGCACATGTATAGGGAAAATGGTGCATTGGCCAGGCCGGTCTGTATAGGAACTTAGAGTGCAAATGCCAGGGAGAACGGAAGCGCTCAAATCTCGCAAAGTACACGGAATCTAGTGGTCTCACTCAAATAGAAGGTAGGAAATATATTAATCTAGTGAACGTAAGGGTTTGAAAGCTAACTAACGCACATGTGTAGAGAAGATGGTGCATCGGCCAGTCTGGCCAGCATTTCGCACTTATATTGAAAGTGGGGCCAGGGAGAACGGCAACGCTCATTTCTCAAAAAGTAAAGGGAATCTAGTGGTCTAACTCGATGAGAAGGTGGCAAATATATAAATCTAGTGAGCTAATAAGGTTCAAAAGGTATCTAACGCAAATGTATAGGGAAAATGGTGCATCGGCCAGGCCGGTCAGTATGCGAACTTTGAGTGCAAATGCCAGGGAGAACGGAAGCGCTCAGATCTCGCATAGTACACGGAATCTAGTGGTCTCACTCAAATAGAAGGTAGGAAATATATTAATCTAGTGAACGTAAGGGTTTGAAAGGTAACTAACGCACATGTGTAGAGAAAATGGTGCATCGGCCAGTCTGCCGGCATTTCGCACTTATAGTGCAAGTGGGGCTAGGGAGAACGGAAACGCTCGTTTCTCAAAAAGTAAAGGGAATCTAGCGGTCACTCGATCAGAAGGTTCGAAATATATAAATCTAGTGAGCTAATAAGGTTCGAAAGGTATCTAACGCACATGTATAGGGAAAATGGTGCATTGGCCGGGTCGGTCATTATGGGAACTTAGAGTGCAAATGCCAGTGAGAACGGAAGCGCTCAGATCTCGCATAGTACACGGAATCTAGTGGTCTCACTCAAATGGAAGGTAGGAAATATATGAATCTAGTGAACGTAAGGGTTTGAAAGGTAACTAACGCACATGTGTAGAGAAAATGGTGCATCGGCCAGTCTGGCCGGTATTTCGCACTTATAGTGCAAGTGGGGCCAGGGAGAACGGAAACGCTCGTTTCTCAAAAAGTAAAGGGAATCTAGCGGTCTCACTCGATCAGAAGGTGGGAAATATATAAATCTAGTGAGCTAATAAGGTTCGAAAGGTATCTAACGCACATGTGTAGGGAAAATGGTGCATTGGCCAGGTCGGTAAGTGTGGGAATTTAGAGTGCAAATGCCAGGGAGAACGGAAGCACTCATATCTCGCATAGTACACGGAATCTAGTGGTCTCACTCAAATAGAAGGTAGGAAATATATTAATATAGTGAACGTAAGGGTTTGAAAGGTAACTAACGCACATGTGTAGAGAAAATGGTGCATCGGCCAGTCTGGCCGGCATTTCGCACTTATAGTGCAAGTGGGGCCAGGGAGAACGGAAACACTCGTTTCTAAAAAAATAAAGGGAATCTAGCGGTCTCACTCGATCAGAAGGTGGGAAATATATAACTCTAGTGAGCTAATAAGGTTCGAAAGGTATCTAACGCACGTGTATAGGGAAAATGGTGCATTGGCCAGGTCGTTCAGTATGGGAACGTAGAGTGCAAATGCCAGGGAGAACAGAAGCGCTCAGGTCTCGCATAGTACACGGAATCTAGTGGTCTCACTCAAATAGAAGGTAGGAAATATATTAATCTAGTGAACGTAAGGGTTTGAAAGGTAACTAACGCACATGTGTAGAGAAAATGGTGCATCGGCCAGTCTGGCCGGCATTTCGCACTTATAGTGCAAGTGGGGCCAGGGAGAACGAAAACGCTCGTTTCTCAAAAAGTAAAGGGAATCTAGCGGTCCCACTCGATCAGAAGGTGGGAAATATATAAATCTAGTGAGCTAATGTTTGTGCTTTGTAGACATTATACAGTTCGAGAAAATAGAAACGTCGACCACCCCATAAAGGATATAAGGGCGGGTCAAAAGAGTACGTCCGAATGCGGTTCTAAAAGGTTTAGGCTTGTCCCAAAGCGGTCTTTTTTAAACACAAAATGGTTGGGTAGGGTTTTCTCCGAATGCGTGCAAAGCTTGACCCGCCCTAACCCAACCTTCGATCGCCGGATCGCGCAGGGGGGATGCGGTGCGTAGACCCTCGACCGTGTGAGATATTTATGGCAGCCCTTATACTTCATGTTTTTGTATTTCAACATCAGCACCGCGCTTTTTGCAATAGTTCATTCTCTTCTCTTATAAAGAGTCCTGGAATGTGCTTATGAAGAGCATTTTCTGCCTCTTGTCCTCCCATATAACAGGCGCAGCAGCAACGACAGCAGTTTCCTAGAAGCTTCAGAATCTCTGGTCAGCATTCCACGCTCCATCACAGCCCCCTTTCAGATTCCAACCTCTCATCATGCCCCAAAGGGTGGTGCCAGTGGTGGTGGGGGCGTCGATGCTACTGCCCCAACTGCTGCTTCTTTGGGAGGAGCAGGAGAAACGGAAGCAGCAGCGGCAGGGGCAGCAGAAGGGGGAGTAGCAGGGGAGGAGGAGGAGGAGCAAGGGAACTTGGCCCGCGGTGCTGCTGTGCTAGACTCTCTTGCTGGTGGCCCTATGTGGCTCGACGCATGGGGGGATGAAGGAGAGAGGGAAGGGAGATGGGGAGGAGAGGGGGAGGAGGGGGGTGGTGGGGGAGGAGATGGGGATGGGGAGGGGGAAGGGGGGGAGGGAGAGGATGGGGGGGGGGGAGAGGGTGCGGTTTGTGCGCAACTTCCTGGAACTTGCGTGCCAGTGGATCCCCGACGATAAGCACCTGCAGGAGGCCCTGGTGGTGACGTCAGCTGCAGCTGTAGCTGCTACAGCTGCTGCTGCTACAGTGCGTTCTGCACACGTACTGCCACCTCTCTTGCCTCTTGCACCACAGCATGTGAGGGGATCTGCTGACGGCGCTGCTACAGCCGTGGATGGAGCAGCAGCAGGGAAGAGGAGAGGGGGCACAGCCGCTGCCATAGTAGCTGTGCTGGAGAGAACAAGGGGCAGGGAATTCGGTGCCTCACACTCTGCTACAGCTGCTGCTTCTGCTGTAGATTGTCAGCCAGCAGTATCGGAACCGCACCTGCTCCTGGGCCATCCTGATTGGCCGATGGCTAGCTCCTGCTTCAGCCAATCAACAGCGGCAGCAGCAGGACCAGCAGCAGGAGATGAGTCAGCAGCAACAGCCAAGGCGGTGAGAGCAGCTAAGGCGGAGGTGAAGAGGCTGTTAAAGACGCGGCGGCAGGACCTGGGTCTGTGGGCTGTGTATGCCCGGCTGGAGGCAGAGTGTGGCAACCTGGACGCTTCCAGGAAGGTTCTCGACACGGCACTGGCTTCTGTTGCTGCTCTCCCAAAGGTCTGTTCTCGGGTCATTTGAGACGTCCTGGAAGCTTTCAGGGGTCTTATTTATCGTCTCAAAAACGTCGTGAAGTTTTCAGGTCATTCCACCAAAGTGTATGGCGTTTTTGCTGCACTGCTCACTCCGAAGTGACTCTCTGGACTCGCTTTCTTTACTTTCTTGACTGCCTTGACTTTCTTGACTGCCTTGACTTTCTTGACCGGCTCTAAAATGTGTGTTGTTTCCATGTCTCCCCTTTGCCAGAACTCCTGAACTCGTTCTTTCTTCTTGCCCTCCCGTGCTCTCATCTGGCCATCCATGCTCCCCATTCTTCCAGTCCGCAGCTGAAGCCACGCCTCTCCTTGTGCTCGCATACACCCACATACAGCTATCCCCAACCAGTCACTCTACCAACCAACACCGGAATCACCAGCAGCAGCAACGGCGGCCGCAGAGCAGTAAGGGTCATATGCAGTGGACTACCAACCAGCACTGGTGTTCCCTCCACACTCTTGCCTCTTTCGCGGCATCTGCCCCTTTTTCTGCCCCACCGCCACTCCCTCCGCAACTCGACCCGTCTGGGTTGGAAGAAAGCTGGCGGACTACAACCCCCTCCTCCCGGGCAGTTTGTAAATATTTCCCTCAAGCTGCCCTGATACGCGCTCGGGCAGGGTTCCACTTGAAGCTGCAAGAAGCAAAGAAATTCATTGCAGCTTCAGCTGCTGCCGCCGCCGCTGCTGCTTCAGCTTCTCTCCCCACATTTTCCACCAACCCCTCTGCTGTTAAACTTGGTGCTAGTACCAACCCAACACCTTTCACGTCTGCTGTTGGCGATGGGAGGCTGGCACAAGCGGAGGAGAGCAGCAGGGCAACAGCAGCAGTGGCAGTGGTGCTGTGTGCGTGTCTCTTTGAGCTCTTGGCAGCGCCGTCTCTCCCTGAAGGGGTTGCAGCCACTGCTGCGGTGGTGGATGGGTGCATTGCTGCGGTGCTGCCTGGCCGCCGTGCCTGCTGTCTCCCTCTGGAGCTGCTCTTTGAAAGATATGCCTCGCTGCTGCTGCACGCCCTGCCAGGTAACACAGACTCCCTCCCTTTAGCCATCTTCCACCCCCTTCCTTACTCCCACCTCACAGCCATCCAGCCACACTTCCTTACTCCCTCCCTAAACCCGATACCCTGCTTTTTTTCAAGTTCCCTTCTTTCCTATTCCTCCCCCCCAAACCCCACCCTTCTCCACCTTCCTTTCACTTCCTCTTCCCCATTCCAGCCATCCCGTCACAGCAGGTGCGGAGAGTGGTGCTGCAGGGTTTGAAGGAGTTCCCCAGCAACGTGCACCTTCTTGGAACCTTCCTGCGGCTGGAGTCCCGCAGTGCGTTCACCAACAGCATCCGGCGTTTCTTCGACCAAACCACCGCCAGGTCAGCAACGCCACGTCAGCAGCCAGGTCAGCAACGCCACATCAGCACCCAGGTCAGCAATGCCACGTTAGCAGCCAGGTCAGCATGGCTGTATCATGTCCCTGCAAGGAACCTGAGTATTGCTACCTTCGGTAGAAAGGCCTCCTGTAGAAAGCCCGACTGGCGTCCTACCTACCTTTGGTAGCCCTTCTCAATTCTTGTCACACCCATTGTGGCTCGTAGGCCATCTACAACTCTCATCTCTACCAACCTTCCTACCGTTGAAACTTGTGGACCTTGGGGTCTAAAATATGCGGCATTCCAACCACCCTCTCCCTCCTTTCCCCTCCAGACTGTCCCACCCACCCCTCACCACTCCTCTTGTTGCTCAGTCTCCTGGTTATGTACCTCAAAACATCTAACCCACCTCCCTCTCTCCCCAACCATCCTCTTCCTTCCCTCCCAGCCTGTCCCAATCCTCCTCACCGCTCCTCTGACTGCTCAATTTCCTGGTTGACTTTTGAGCTGCCTCAAAACATATCTTCTACCTACCACTATCTCCCTCCCCTGCAGACTACCCCACCCCTCACCACTCCTCTGGCTGCTCAGTCTCCTGGTTGAGGTGGCAAGGCCGGGGGCCCGTCCACGTGTGCGCGGGTTACTGGAGCGGGCTCTTGCCAGCTCAGCAAAGGGGAGTGGGCAATGCGTGCTGATGTGGCGGCTGTACATTGGTTATGAGCTCCACATCAGCCGGAATACCGATGCTGCGCGGAGAGTGTTCTTCAGAGCCATCCACACATGTCCCTGGTGAGTTTGATATGAGATGTTATTTTTCCGTATATTTCTCACTATGGTGCCTTTTATTCATTGTTTTTTGTCCTCCATGTGACAAAAGTGATGCCATGTGCGCCCGTTATGATGTTCCCTCTTATTGTTGGATTATTCTGCAGGTCCAAGGCCTTGTGGTTGGATGCCTTCACGCAACTCCATGGGGTAATCAAGGGAGAGGAGCTGAACGAGCTTGCCAACATGATGAGGGACAAAGAGCTGCGGCTGCGCACTGATGTATACGAAATCTTGCTTCAAGATGCTCAATAAGCATGGCATGGCATGCATTTTGTATGTGAAAGACAGTGAATTGTGGTTATCAGAAGTGTATTTTATTTTGTTGTATAACGTTTTCGTTCAACAGTTGGTTACCAAGCGCCAGGTGGAGGATTCTGGGCTGCCAGCGTGAATCCAAGAATTACGTTGGCGTATGGCAGGCGATGCTGCTGAGGACTGAATCTGGCTTTCCACGTGTAACATTGCCACGTGGAAGCATTGTTCCTTCGCATGCGGTTCGTGCTCACCCAAAGCAAAAATCTGCTGATTCACGTCGAGGCTGTGTTCAAATCTTGCGTTTCTAGCAAAGCTGTTAGCTCACGCGTGCTGGTTACTGATATCTGTAGTCTCAAGTCTTGCCGTTCGTTCCCTCCTCTGTTAGGCGAGACAGATGACTCTTCGAATTCAACTAACCTACGCCCTCGAGGTGATCAGCTTCACTCCCACAGCCAGGAGGAGTGCTAATATCAACTATGCGATGTATTTGACATCTAAAGAACGAGGGAAGAAATCTGATCAGGAAGTTAGCCAAATTTCACGTTCTGCAGCTGTGTCCTTCGACCTCCTCGTTTAACTAAACGCGGTTGATCAGGAATATGGCGTCCGCCGTTCTCTCCCTGCCCACGTTCTCCCCGCTTTCAGCGACGAGGCTCACATGCAGACGGAATGCGGCTCAGAAGACATTGAGACAACGACCGCTCGTCGTTGCGTCAGCGGTACAATCTACGAAACCCACGCTTGTAGCTGAGCCTGTGAGTGTCGCTCGCGAAACGACGGATCCCGCCGTGCGATCGACGGCAGCGGCGGTTTTCACGTCGCTCGCGACGTTCTTCCCCGCGGCGCTTCCCGTTCTTGCGGAGGAGGCAGTTGTTGATGCCGCTTCTGACGCTGCTGCAGTGGCTCCGGACTGGCTCGGTTACGTGTTGCTCGCGATTCCGCTGGTGGCTTATGGCGGATTCTACTTGTTCCGATCTGCGGTGAGTTTTTTTTCCCGCGTTTACAATCTTCACCTAGTGGGGTGGGTTCAATTCGACCGCTGAGCTGGTTGGATCAAGCAATGTGCCGTAATCTGGAACGGATGTTGTTAGTTCAGTACGCCAGTTATCCCCAATGTTACGCCAGTTACCACGGGATATCAACCTGTGTGTACGGAAATTTAAGGAAAATACACACGAAAAAATGTACACCAGGTCTGTTTGTCAGGAAACCATGAACTCTTGTGTCTGTCTGAAAACCATGGCATCTGCGTGTTCTTCGCCGTGACTGCAGGTGAACCCCAAGGCTGGTCTCTTGGACTATGCGTTCGTTCTCGTGGCGACGGTTATTGTCGCCAACATTCTGACCTCGCTCTTCCTTAAGGTACAGTGAGTTCGCGTTTTAGGAACAAGGATTTGTGTTCATCGCTCCTTCCGTCCATCCGTCCTTCCATCCGTCCATCCGTCCATCCGTCCATCCGTCCGTCCATCCATCCATCCATCCATCCATCCATCCATCCATCCATCCATCCATCCATCCATCCGTCCGTCCGTCCGTCCGTCCGTCCGTCCGTCCGTCCGTCCGTCCGTCCGTCCGTCCGTCCGTCCGTCCGTCCGTCCGTCCGTCCGTCCGTCCGTCCGTCCGTCCGTCCGTCCGTCCGTCCGTCCGTCCGTCCGTCCGTCCGTCCATCCATCCATCCGTCCGTCCGTCCGTCCGTCCGTCCGTCCATCCATCCATCCATCCATCCGTCCGTCCGTTCATTAATTAAATATCATTAGTTCCTTTTCATGCGCGTCTACTGGTGTGGTACAACAATGGCTGCCAGCCTTATGCTTCAGCACAGACTATCTTTGCAAAATTCTACTCACTTGTGGATATGTTACACAGTAACCTGTTACCACCACTGAGTCATGCTTCCGCGTCTCATTGACTAGTGCATAAGAAACCATTACGTTTTACTTGTTCCATTCCAATTTGAGGTCCATTGCGGCTTTTTCCCAATGTCACCCATCAGTCATTTTTTCCAGTACATTCTCTCGCTTCTGTCACTTCTCTCGCCCTTCCTCTCTTTCATAATTCTCTTCACCTTGGTTTGTCTATGACTCCTCTCCCTCCCACCCACCCCTACCCCCTCCATCCTCCACCCAACTAACACTTTCTTCTCATTTCTGTCCGCGTTTCCATCTGCCCCTCTCCCCTTGGCAGGTTCGCATCTATTGATTGTTGTGGAGCTCAAATGCCACCCCTTTTTTGCTCCACAAACAAACGAGAAGCATTTAAATGCCATTTTGCTACAAGCTCCTACCGCGATAGGAGTGTCCATGTATTTTGCTAGTAGAACGAGTTTTGCCATAGATGGAAAATGGGGAGTATTTTGTACTTTCCAGCACCATGCTGACCAAGCTTTGCAATGCCAAGCAAGCTTGGCTGTAGCTTTTGAATAAAAACCTTGTTTTGTCTGTAAGCAGTACAAGATGAGAACCTTATGTGACACATGCAGAGTCATTGATTCTGAATATGGACTGCACTTCATTCTCACCTTTCTCTATGTTAGCCACTCCCCTTCTTGAACACGCCATGCACCCACACGCGCTTCATCTCCCTACCCTTACTCCGATTCTCATTCCGCACACAACAGTATTCCACCTCCTCGCACTCAAACCCAGCAGCACCCGTTAGCACCCGAACCTCTTCCACTGAAAAGAAGTACGCTAGAGTGCCGTCTCCCCGCTCGTATAACCGGTCATTGGCACAGCTCAGGTTGTGATTTTCCCTGCTCAAAGTCTCCTCGTGCCAGCTCTGCTGTACTCCTTCTCTCCTCTGCCTCTCTCGTCCTTGCCCCCTTTGTTCCTCGCCCTCCATCTCCTGCTGCTCGTTCACCTGTTGCTGAGACAGCCTTTGCTCCTCTAGCCGTTCCCGCTGTATCCTCTGCTGCTCCTTCTCCTCCTCCTGCTGCTGCTGCTGCTCCCGCTGCTGCTGCACACGTTGCTGCTGCAGGCGAAACATGACCATGTCAAACACCCCATAGTCTCTGAACAGCAAGAGCCCCCCCGGGGCCAGCACAGAGTGGATCTGCCTCAGTGCATGCAGCATGCGGTTTGGGTGCAGCGCCGACAGAGTAAAGACGCACAACGCCGCCTGGAATTCTGGAGGAGAGGGTCTAGCCACGGGCGGCACAGAGCCCAGCGCAGGTTTGTTGCATCCGGACGGAGGAGCCGGGCTGTGAGATGCTTGCATCAAAGCGAATTCGCCGGATTCACCAGATTCGCCGGATATAGACACAGCAGGGTGTTCACTCACTCCAGGTGCAGTGAATCTGGACGTCAGGGCAGCCTGAAGGTCCCCCTGTGCCACGTCACACACAAACCCCCGGAACCGGCGTGTGGCTGTGTGCTGCCCCAGGGCGTGAGAGAGAGTGTGGGTGGTGAGGGAGACAGCTGTGGGGCTGATGTCACATGCTGCTAGGCAGACTTGAGTGGTGGCTCTGGGAGGAAAGAAGGGAGAAGGACACGCAGGGGAAGAAGGGAGGCAGGGATAGTGTGGGTGGTGAGGGAGACGGCTGTGGGGCTGATGTCAGACGCTGCTAGGCAGATTTGAGTGGTGGCTCTGAGAGGAAAAAAAGGGGGACGGAACACGAAGTGAGGAAGGCCATAAGACAAACAGACACTGTGTGAGGGAGACAGCCGTGGGGCTGATGTCACATGCTGCTAGGCAGGTTTGAGTGGTGGCTCTGGGAGGAAAGAAGGGAGAAGGACAAGCAGGGGAAGAAAGGGAGGCAAGGAGAGTGTGGGTGGTGAGGGAGACGGCCGTGGGGCTGATGTCACATGCTGCTAGGCAGACTCGAGTGGTTGCTCCGGGAGGAAAGAAGGGAGAAGGACAAGCAGGGGAAGACCGTGGTTGTCACATGCTGCTAGACAGACGTCTTTGTCTTTGGTAGTTCCGTGTGGGAATGGAGGGAGGTGAGGGTGCGGTGCGGGGTGGCGGTTGAAGAGCACAAAGGGAGATGAAGGAGGTGCTAGAAGACAAAGAAGTTGCAGGAGACGCGAGAGTGCAATGAAGTTGAGGGTACACCCACCCGCCGGCCATACTGAGCTTGCAGCTATCCAGCGGTTTTTTCAATTGAGTTGAGGGCATCGGGGAAAGCCGATGTTGTCTGTCACACACGCACTCACCACCCACGCCACCCACAACACACTCAGGTACCACAGTAAGCTCACTCACCGCAGAATGGCTAGTGCTGAGCTGCCGCTGCCGCATCCCACTTCCAGAATCCACGGCAGAGGAGATGGGGATGCTGGCGAGGGGTCATGGCATGGTGACGATGAGGGGTCATGGCATGGTGATGATGAGGGGTCATGGCATGGTGATGATGAGGGGTCATGGCATGGTAATGAGGGGTCATGGCATGGTAACGAGGGGTCATGGCATGGTAACGAGGGGTGATGGCATGGTGGGGAACGGGATGCTGCTGGTACAGTGCACTCTCCCCTCTCTGCTGCTTCAGCAGCAGCTGATGCCACCACGCGTTCTGCTAACTGTGC